GGGCGGGAATTGGGTGCTCACTGACCCCAGGGCACCCGGCCTGCATCCCTCTGCATCTGCAAAGCCAGGATTTCTGCCTCCAGGCGCCGATTTTCAGCCTCCACTGCTAGAAGCTCCTTGAATGCAGCAACTGTCTGTCTTCCTGCGATTGAACAAGTCTGACCTGTCATCTCTGACAGCTGGTGACCAGCTGCTCTGAGCAGCTCTCCAGCCTTAGGACTCTGGACAAGGCTGGACTTGTCAGCTAACATTCCAGGCACCCCTGCAAAGACAGGTGTTCTACCTTGGGTTTTTGCTCAAGTGGTTCCCAAGCCAAAGACGTCCTCCCTCATCGCCCTTTTCTCTCCCCAGGGCTAAGGCCCTCCTGGCTGACCCACTCATGTTCACCCCTGCGGGTCCGTGACCTCCGAAGCTCCAGAGCTGACGCCTCCACTTGTAACTGCCATATCCAGCCCAGAACGCCGGTGTCCCGGCCCCCACCTCGAATGTAGGCCTCACGCAGGGCCCTAGGGAGTAGGGGACAAGAAGCCAGAAGCGTTTTTCCAGGCCCTATCAGCGCTTTGCCCCGTGCCCGCCTCGGGGCCCGGATCTTACCCGATCTCCGCAGCCAGAGTCCCTGGGTTTGCCTGTAGCACCGGACCACAGAGTTCTGCCTCTCGTAAGGCGCTCAGCCGGGTCCTGGGGTGGAGGACGGCCGGCGCGGGGGCGGAATCAAGGACCCAGACCCCGGGCCTCCGGCAGCGCCGCCCCTTCCCGACCTCACTCGCGCGGCCTTCCAGCGGAGTCCGGGTGCATACCTCGCACGTCCAGCCGGGCCAGGCCCCGCCCCCCGCTCCGGCCCCGCCCCCCCGCCAGCCGGTGACTCGGAGCTCCCGGGATCCGGCTCGTCGGCCTCACCCGGGGTTGGCCTGTAGCTGCTGAACGTGCGCCCCTAACTCCTCTAGAGCACCCCGCGTTCGCCCGGCCTCTGCCCGGAGTTCTCGAAGCTCCCGCTCCAGGCTGAATATGCGTGATTTCCCGTCCCGGGTCCAAGCCAAACCTTGGAGGTGCCGGCTCAGTTCTGAGTGGGTAAGAGATCAAATCAGAACGGGTCGGGCGACCTCAAGCCAAGGGGGAGGGTGGGCCCTAGTCCCCCTCTTTTCCCTTACCCTCGCCGCGTCGCTCCAGGGCACAGCTCTGTGCCTTGGTCTCTGCCAAGCGCCTTGCGTGAGTCCGGTGCAGCGCCCGCAGCCGCTCGCCGGGGCTCCCAGCAGTCTCGTAGTTGGGACTCTGAGTCGGTGCCTCTGACCGCCTCCAGGGCCCCGGTGACCCGCTGGGGACCTCTGTTATGCTGGGTCGCATTTCCTGCAGATACAGCCGCAGCCGCTGCACCTGGAGGTAACAGTAACCCGCAATCTCCATATTGGGGTAATCTGACCCACGCGTGATCTATAGGTTTGGGGGGGAGGCTCAGTGGGGAAATCCAGGTGTACCTCATCTGTTAGCCTCTTCAGAGCCGATTTGCTGGCCTCCTGGTCTGGGAGGCCCTGGTGTTCTTGTGGCACAACCTGGGTACAGGGTGTGGGGTGAGGAATCCTCTGAGAGTTACAGTCACTTCAGTACCCTCTCATGGCCATGGAGGAGGCCCTTACCCTGGGTACTCGTGGTTCAGTGCCTATTGGGGGCTGTTCTCCAACTGTCAGCTCCCGGGGCTGACGGCCAATGCAGAAGCGCTGAGTGTGGGTGGCCAGCAGGGCCCAGGAACGGAAAACCATGTCACAGGACCCACACGGCAGGAGCCCTGGCTCCCTGGAGTGGGAGTCCATGGGATGGGACTCCTTTCCTGATACCAGCCAAGACCTGCAGAAGACAGGACAGGGGCAGGGGAAAGGGAAAGGAGGATGAAATAGCCAAAGGCAGAGAGGAAAGGCCAGGTTTACCGGTTCAAGTTTATGTTTGGGGAGGAGCTAAAGCTCCCTGGGCAACAACCTCAGGTCTGGGCAGGTCTGGAGAGTGAGCGGGAAGGCTTGGTCACCTTAGGGAGGAGCCCCTGGCTTGAAAAAGATGTCATAAAATCTGTTCCACCTCATTGCATGAGTATGGGCAAGTCTCTAACACCACACCTTGGTTTTCTTGCCTATATTAATAAAGGGGAGCAAAGAGCTGCCTCCTAAACTAGCTGAGCCCATATCACATACTCCGCCTTGGTTATTTAATAGCCTCTGGAAGGGAAGTGTCACCTTGTTCGTTCTAGTTTTGCCTAAGTGGATGTAACCCAAGTTAGTGTCATTCTCCATTCCAAGGAATACCTGAGAGAGGAGGCATTCTGCCTAGAAACCATGTCTTTCCTGTAGACTAAAAGCTCTTCCTTGGGCTTCCCTGGTGGCACAGTGGTTGGAGTCCGCCTGCCGATGCAGGAGACATGGGTTCGTGCCCCGGTCCGGGAGGATCCCACATGCCGTGGAGCGGCTGGGCCCGTGGGCCATGGCCGCTGAGCCTGCGTGTCCGGAGCCTGTGCTCCGCAACAGGAGAGGCCACAACAGTGAGAGGTCCGCGTACCGCAAAAAAAAAGCTTTTCCTTGCACGGTGCCTCTCTGGAAGTAACATCTTTTGCATAACCAAGACACACCAAGGCCCCCTAACTCCTAGTTCCTGCCCCTGGGCACTGCCCTGCAGCCCCCCCAAGATAATCAACACAGCCGAAGGAATGGAAGTTCTGGGAGAACACAATGAATCAGAAGAGGGAATCAAATACAGAAAGGTAACTCTTCACTCAGGACTAGCCAGGGGCCACAAAGGCCCCGTTCCTGC